TATATATACATATATATATATACATATATGGGATGACGTGGGTATAGGAATGGAGTGGGTTGTGTTGTTGTGCCCAGCTAAGGGATAGTGTTAACTGCCACTGACTGGAACAACTTTAGCTCTTCTGTTAGTCGCTCTAGTCATCAACAGTGTGTGATTATGGTATTTACACGAACAAAGATCTGGGTATTAAGACTTTCAGCCGACATGGTTGCCTGACCTCGACAATTTTAGCGTGACCCATATCGTCTGGCAATTTTCGGTCAAATAATATCTTTCTGTGTGTGAGCGTGCGCGGAGATGCGTGCTTGCTGTACAGCAAACATTTTTTGCAAGGAAGTTTTGGCAACAGTTGGGGGACTGTTGTTGATACAGTGCGCATACCTGTTGCACTTTGACGTACACGTACGAGTGTATATATAGTCGAATAAAAGACGCGTAGAAAAAAGAAACGTTACTACAAGCACTGGCAGTGTATCTCGACAGTGTGTATCGTTCCCAGCAGTGGTAAATGGAAATTCCTTGTACGCATTGAGAGTGCAATATGTAGGCCTCGTAGATTCGTTGTGTGAAAGCAGAGGTTCCTGCCCCGAAAGTTGACTAGATCGTTCGCTAGCTAAGAGTCATACTTTTATCATATGACATAAAAAAAGTAATTACTTTTTATACGACCTAAATTCCAGAGACCCTTACCACTAAATATCAGCATTTTCTAGATGGTTAAAAAATATCAAACGCGCGCCGTTAGATTTGTTTGTTCGGGCAGAAAGGCAGATTAGTGCGTCGTGCATGTTGGAATTTATCATAAGATCGCTAAAGCAAGAATGAATATGATACAGCAATTTTCTGTAATTTGGTGTAAACAGGAACAGCGCAAAAGTAACCGTTGATCGAACAGTTGTCATACGCATCATTCGCGGAAGGAATTAGAATTTGTTCTGACACTGGTATAAACCCATAACTCTCTCGTCGACTAACATATGTGCGGGGGCGGCGCAGAATTTGTCGGCTGCCGTTGATCTATAATTAGCATGTTATCTCTGTTACTATACGCGACATTACGCGGAGAGCGCCATATAGGTATAGATGTTAACAGATCCGCGGGTTGGCGCGAACAATGTGGGCTCGCGTGCGTCTGAGCAAACACAGGTAACCCATTCACAGGTGCTAACGCATCAGAATGTCGGCTTGTTCCTCCGTTGCTCCGTTGGGTATTAATTTCACGATGTTGTTTGCGCTCAACGAGAGGATTTTAGCGATGATCAGACACCGACTGACATGATCATTGT